TTTTTTTACATATAGAAAAAAATGGGCTCAACCGGGATTTGAACCCGGGACCTCTCGCACCCAAAGCGAGAATCATACCCCTAGACCATTGAGCCGCGATACAAAATTTTACCTTGTAATCAGCTCGAACGCGTTTTTAAGACTTAAAGTGAAAGTAAACGTTTAACACAGGTAAAAATTAGTAAAATGCATTCGCGCCAAATACGGTACGAAGGTATGCATGGCGGCTCAATGGTCTAGGGGTATGATTCTCGCTTTGGGTGCGAGAGGTCCCGGGTTCAAATCCCGGTTGAGCCCATTTTTTTTATTTTTATAATCGACAGACTGATTCACAAGAAAGGTTTATAACAGCACAGTGTATTAGGGAATACTTAAGCTGGGTTTATACAATATTTGATAATTTAGTGAACGATTTATATCATAACACAATTCTTAATTTATTGAATTATTTAATACATAATACCTACATAACTTTAAAATCTGGTTTATACAATTTATTAATTTAATATATATTTTATTTTTTTAAATGACAATTTTTGTATATTATATTGATAATTAAAAGTGACAAATAACACAAAATCCCTCGTTAAAACTCATTTTTTTAGGAACTTTGTAGTATTTTTTAGGGCACAAACACAAAACACAATAATTATTAATTATAACCTTCTTTATCTCTGATTATAACCTTAAAATTGTTGGCACATGCGCTGTTCAATCTTATTTTTAATTCATAATTTATTTCAGTACGATTTACTTTTATGCTTATACTCGTATACTGAATTGTGAATTAAGAAATAAATTAATGATATGAAGTCGTATAAACCCGCCATTAAACACAATGAAAAAAAAGTGATTATAAACTCATGACTTTAGTTGTTGTCCTTTTCTGTTTTTTAACCCTTTTCTTATTTAGGAAAACTTTAATTACTTTGAGTTTAGTTTGCGCGACAATTTATCGTCGTGCTTCTCCACACAAGAGACGGGGCAGTTAAAAGTTTAAACAAGAAAGTCTGAAGGAAGGTTGCAGATGTGTATATCAGTGTCCGGCAGGGAAAGCGTTCAAGGGCCGTTGCCCGTGCGTTCTTTATGGGCGCGGAACTCTTAAATTAGTCCTAAGACTTTGCGCAGTTTGCGAACACTTAATAAGAACGGCCGCCCGCTCGGTACGATAGGGGGGAAAATGGGGGGAATGGGTCTCGCGGGCGACATCACTCACCAACCTGAAATATTGTCGCTCCAACTTTTCCCCTTTAACCTGGCCGGTGTCTTAGCGCCACCGAGGCACTATGGGACAAAAGTTAATTTTATTTTGTAAAATTTCAACATAATTTTTTGTAGAACCTTGGTTTGTAATTATTTTAACAAAGGAACATATTTTACCGAAATTTTTGTAATAAAGGTAATATGCAATTTTGTAAGCATTTAGTTAATTTCAAAGGTTACAGATTATTTTGTTAATGTTTAACAAATTATTTCGTTTAAAAAGTACACGTGATTTCAGGCAGTCAATCATATGGTGTTACTTCGTGATATTTAATAAAACTAAATGAGTTTGACCTACACTTTTATTGTGTTTTGTTCTTTCATAATTAAGTAGATATTACAGCTCAGGTTCCAGATTTTTAACCGAAATTAATTATTTTTTACAATGTTTTAAAAGTCTAAAACCATCCTCCGTGACTGTTACTCTTTCTAGGTTAACCTATATGTTTTCAAATATCTGAGGTAGTAAAAGCATACTAAAAATATCAGTTCACTAAGTAAATTAAACACATCAAAAGCAATCGAATCAAATATAAAATATTATTAAAAATTATTTTTATAACCATTTATGTAGGTGTTACAAAAATTGATTCTATCCTCCGTGAAATTTTATGCAACGGATGCCGCTTTAATCATTTTTAATAAACCAAAACCTTTGTTTACGACATTATAGATGCATGTGATTCCTGAAGGTCAGTTAGAATTTATTTGCAGATTAGAGTGTTGCTGTTTTATAATTCAAAAGTTTAAGATCATTAATTTGCTATTTAAAAAATTATCCATCGTGAAGTGTAATATCTCAGTAAGTAGATTTTTTTGATAAATAGTTTATATACAATTGTATTTTTAATGAAGGTGGTAAAAGACACAATAACTTATTTCAAATATACAAAGGGATGTTTAAAAAAAACATACGAAATCCTAACTTCCGTGAAGCTCTAATATTCAAAATGTATGATTTCTTAAAATTCTTGCATTAGTGCAGAACCACTTATGTTATGTTATTACTAGACCTGGTGGCTTCCCAAAAACTCCACATTCTAGACTAACAGTGAAACAAACAAAAATAAAAAATAATCATTTTCACTTGGGAGACATCTCAATATATTCACACATATAATGTTATTTTTGTGTTTATTTATGTAGGTATGTGTTAATTTTTTGTTTAGGAAATTGATTAATAAAGCAACATTTCTCATCAAATTTTTTTTCATTTAAGTTCCCAATTTCCAACAAATACCTACTTTTGTTACTGGGTCTACAAAAAGGTTTGTAAAATAAGGTCCTTTTTGAAAATTACAAGAATTATGTTGGAATTATTGATGTAGTATTTTGTTATAAAATTTACAAAAAGTTTGTGTCAAACTACTTATTCAATTTGTTAAGTGATTACAGTTGGTTGTAAACTTAACATAGTTATGTGGACCTGAATTAACATAAAATCATATTAATATTTGGTAAAAATTAACAAATATTTTTTTACTGTGTATAAATAATTAGATTTTCCCATAGTGCACAAAACTAAATTATTTTAGTTCTCCATTGCCGTTTTTAGAATTATCTTAAGGGATGTAAGGGGTGGCGAACGGGAACCTAGTACTTAGATCAAGGGAAACACACATACTATTAGCGTAAAGGGGGGGGTGAAATAGATTTATTTTTATTAGCACTTGGGGACCCCTAACCGGGCCCGTTTTAGATGCGCGTATGGAACAAATTATGTCACACTTTATTGAAATTTCGTTAAGTGAGCGGGAGTTTGTGGCCGGGAACCGATGCAAATTGCACTTCGACAAACAAACTACCTATACCTACATGTATAGTCCCATCATATCTCTTTTCTTAGATTTAGTACATCAGAAACAGAAGAGAAAAATACCTTGCTTTAAAAGTCAGTAAAATGAGACAATACGGTTTCCCAATAAACAGTGGAAATCCGAATGAAGAATTAAATTGCACACAGTCCCTGTAAATAGCCATTAGATACAATAAATACACATTTTAGTAATGATTTACGTGAAAATTGTAAACATTTAAATTCAGTAAAAATCTTAAGATAAATAAGTCGTCTAAATTCAAACAGCATTAAGCATTATTAAAAGCGTTGATCAAGAAAGTCTCCACTCAATAGTAAAATACCAAGAACCGGTCTTATATTATGTATTATATTTATTAATATTCGTAGGTATATTTTGTCGTTTAAAATGCAGTTGTCGGCGTTTTTTAGAGGGCTATAAGAATATTCGATTTTAAGGTTATGTTTGTACAACAATTCTTTTTAGTTAGATTCTTAAAAATGTCCAAACTTAAATATAAATTATCAGGGTTCCCAGCATTGTTTTGTACTTTTTTTATAATTTTATGACAAATTTTTCAAATTTTATGACAAGAATTATTAATTTATTATTTTAATAAAAAATATATAATTTTTTAACGGTTTATTATATAAAAATAAATATTTTTTCTCGCATCAAAATAAATATTTCTTCTATAATATTTTTAATATAAGTTACTTTAATAGGTATTATAATCCCAAAATAAATAAAACTACATCTCAAAATAAATAAAACCACATCTCAAAAATTTGAGTCAAAATAAATAAAACCACATCTCAAAAATTTGAGTCAAAATAAATAAAACACACTATTTTTTTTGCTTTTTCGAGACCCATGTTAATTATTGCTTGAGCCTCCAATATTTCAGATTTTTAAGAGTAGTCTTATTGTTAAGGTACTTCCATAATTTCTTATTTCCTTGAGAAGCCCACCCAAAATTTTGATTTTATAGGTTGGCTTTACTTTAAACAGCATAATATTTTGCATATTGGTTATAATATTTTTATGATTTTTCTAATACTTACGAGACTTTTCTGGCAATAAATTTTGTTTAACAAATAAAATCCTTTATTGTAAATAAGTAAATTAAGGACGGCATGGCGAATCGATTTTGACATTAACTGTCAAACCAATGACTTTGATACCAACTATCTAAAGTAAAATTAGACCAAATAATTTTTTTTTAGAATATTTGCAAAATAGATAAAATAGCATAAGGAACTCATGTCATAAGACTTTTGTCGCACTCGTCCATTACAAAACTCGTTCCTTCGTCGCTCGTTTTATAAATTGCCCGCGTGCGACAAAATGACGTCTTATGACATTAGTTCTTTAATATACTTTTATTATTCTCATTATTTATTTCAAATTTTAAAAATTAAAATTCATTTCCTAACCTAACTTAATAAGTCTTCTTCTTTTTCTTCATTCATAGTATGAAGTTCATACGTCAACAACCAAGGCCGTATTCAAAACATTTTTTTGCGTTTTATTTTACAGGACCGGCTTTAAATTTTATTTTACACAATTTTCAGTTTATAATAAAGAATAAAGGTGCAAAAATTGTTAAAAAATAATGACAAAATGTGAATTTTATGACATTTTAGGACAAAACATGACAATGCAACGATTTAGTACTTGAATTGATTTACACTTAAAAACACATGATCACTTGGATACATTAACGTAACTATATGAGCATAGAATCGTTGAGTTTCTTAATCAATGATTTAAGGAATAATAAATCGAAATCGAGTACTAACCAAAGTTTTTTAGTTCTTACTTGCAACGCAAAACACAAATACCGTGCGCGATTTAGCTAAATTGTGCAATTGCCTTATAAAAAAGTGTGTAGCTATATTGAATAAAACGCCATCTATCTGAAGAAAAAAACATAAATACCTGGAGATCCATCTCCGTCCAACGTGGGGCTCCTAATCCTCTTCATGGGCTTCCTGATGGCGCTGACAGGCCTCTTTGGTTCAAGAAATTGTCGAGCAGGAGTACCAGGAGTATTTTCCTGCTTTGGGGTGGACGGAAGCTGATTAAAATCGCTGGATTTCGGAGTTAAAGGCAGTTGAAGCAAATCCAATTTTTTGGGCGTGTTTAAAGTTGAGGTGGGAATTTTAGATTTCGGCGTTCCCAAGGTAGGTTTTATCTCTGGAACTTCAAGACTTGGCTTCTCGTTTTTCTACAATTAAAATAAATACAGCGTTTTTTCCATAGACAGTGGTGTTTTCATCTTACGTTTCTTTCTCTGAGAGGCAACTTGTGAGCGTTGCTCAACTTCAAAGTGGACCCGCGTTTCTTCTTGCTGAGCAGCAACAAATACGTCGAAGTGTGATAATCGTACTTCCACCTGTTCAGATACTTCCACATCACCTCGTGATCGACCTGATAATGTTTGGCCATTGCGTTCACGCATTCCTTGTCGTAGAACTTCGACGTCTCCGTTTGGATCAGAACCGGGTCCAAGATGCCCATCGTGAGCCACTGGTGCGAGAGCAGCTCGTTTACGGTGACGCGCTTTTTCGGGTCTACCTGCAGCATCGAGCGGATCAGTTTTTTGCTTTCTCGCGAAAGGAAGGAAGGCTCTTCGTATCTGCCGCTCTACAAGAATATTTAATTGTCTTCAGAAGTCTGTTAACCCAGCAAACACATAAGTCTGATTATGTGATGGCCCATTACCAGTGTTGTAACTACAAGTAACTAGAGACAGTATCTAGATACTTTTTATGTATCTGCTTGTGTAACTTGTACCAATCTATAACTGTAACTAGTTACAAATTTTAAGTAACTATGCGTGTTAAGATACAAAGATATATTTTTTAATTAAACTGCTCCTATTATTTATTGACTTCTGACTCATTTTTTAATTCCTGAACGCACCCAACAGTACGATCATATATTTTTTAACGAATCTACTCCCGTTGAGTGAAAAAATCTACTTAACTGGTCAAAAAAGGTTTTAAAAACCGTAGTGGATACAGTTTTCTATAATCTACACTTTTGACAGTTAAAGTTTGTTTACAATTTAAATTTAAAGAAACTTGTTACAAAAATAAGTACTTGTATTAGATCTTCCAAACAATATATACTGGCTACCGTTTTATTGCCAAAATGTATGCTTAAATGGTTGGCAAAAAACTGATCCATGTTATGATACAGTCAAATCTCTATTTCTGTCAGAAATGGAAAGACTGTATAAAATAGCAAAACAAGATGATATTGTAGCGAGTACCGCTCTGGTTCTCGGAATCATGACTCATCGCCGGTGAGTCAGCGCTCGAGCGATCGAGAGCGGTCCGGATCTCGCTAGAATATTCGGGAAGTCACGTAGGCACTATAATATATATAAGGAACAGCGCAGCATGGAGTTAGTCAAGTTTTGGTACTCGCGACAAAATAAATAAATATACGTGCAAATAGACTCTTGAACAGTAGTGATATATAAATAATTAGTAGTTAAGTGTTTAGATAGTTTTATAGTTTCTTAGTGTTTTAAGTGTAAATAAGTTAAAAAATAAATAATTTATTTTTATTTTTAATTATTGTTTAGTTCGTTAATAAACCAGTGCGTGCTTTAATTCACACTACGAACAGTAAAAACGTCACAATTTGGAAGATTCCCTGGCATTGAAATGAAGATGATTTTTTTAGTATCTAACGTAGCCCTTCCTCAATTAACAGCCAAAGTAATATTGAAATACATAATCCAGATCAATTATTGAAACTGCATAGTACTGATAAAGATATTATTTCTTTTCCACTTTGATATTGATCATAAATATCAAAGTGGGAAAGAAATAATATTACAGTTCCATTAGAGTTAGCCTTTGTAGGGCCTTTAGTTCATTAAAGGCACGTTTATAAAGGGCCATTATAGAACCTTTACTGTGTTTGTTAGGAATGCTGACATTTAAAAAAATCCTTGTAAATTGATTGAAACAATTTTTGAGTTGGACAGTGACTTAAGTGTCATGAAATGTCACGTTTCGGCTTAAATTGCAATTTTACGTTTGAAGAAATGCAGGCACCGTTCGAGGCACATGTGACCAGTTATGAGGGCGATTTTACGAATCCCCACCACCACAAGCAAGACGAACCGGTGATTATTAGGGGCGACGGTCACATGATTTTGTTCGGAGTCAACAATCACTTCAGCACCGAGATGCCGTCCTGTTTGACGTCCTGCTTGGCTCCTGAGGAATTTCAGAGCACAGTTTTCGGAGTCAACTCGATTTTGAATGAGCACTTGCCGAAAAATTTTCGGGTTTGGGCGATCGGTTGTTTGTTTTGCTGTTGTTCTGTCGGCTTATCCTTATGTCCGAGCCTTTACCAGAACAAGAAGTTAAAAAATAAAGTAAAACGTTACTTGGAAAAAGAAAATAACAGGTTATACCGAAACCTGGGTATTGAATGGAGTTTCCTAACCCAACATTGTGGACAAGCTCATTTAGTTGAGTATGTTTTACAAATAGAACGCGTTAAGAGCTTAAATATTTTCACTGTAGATTAATAAACGATTTAAAATTATACATGTACGGCCATCTATATGAATTACCCGTAACTACACTGCATTTTTAAAGATTCCTATTTATATTAATTAATTTAATATTTCACTTAATTATTATTATTAAAAAATCAACACAAAAATTGCAATTTTAGTAAAAACTCAATTTTAATTTTAGTTAAATAAAAAACAAAAAATAAATTTTAGTAAAAAAAATTAAAAAACAGTTCCAATTTTAGTAAAAATAAAAATAATAAAAACAAAAATCCCAATTTTGGTAAAAAAATCAAAATGAAAATAAAAAAAAACCTTCATTTTTTTAAAATTAAATTAAAGGAACAAAAAACTTCAAATTTTAGTGAAAAAGCAAAATTTTTATTTTAGTTAAAAAAAAATTACAATTTTAGTAAAAGAAAATTCAAAAAACAAGTTCCAATTTTAGTAAAAAATAAAAATGAAAATAATAAAAACAAAAATCCCAATTATGGTACCAAAATCAAAATGAAAATGAAAAAAAAAATTACTTAAATGAAGGTTTCTTTTTAATTTTTTTTAATTTTAATTTTGGTTGTTGTCCCGAAATTGGAATTTTTGTTTTTATTATTATTGTTCAAACAAAATAATTCCAATTTTAGTAAAAAAGCAAGATTTTCATTTTAGTAAAAAACCAAAAATTACAATTTTAGTAAAAGAAAAATCAAAAATCAAATTCCAATTTTAGTAAAAATAAAAACAAAAATCCCAATTTTGGCACAAAAATCAAAATGAACATAAAAAAAATAAAAAAACTTTATTTTGTAAAAAAAACTAAATTTAATAATTTCAGTAAAAAAACAAGATTTTAATTTTAGTAAAAAAACAAAAATTCCAATTTTAGTAAAAACAAATTCCAATTTTAGTAAAAATAAAAATAAAGTAATTAAAACAAAAATCCCAATTTAGGTACAAAAATCAAAATGAAAATTAAAAAAAAATAAAGAAACCTTTCTTTTGTACAAAAAAAATTAAAGGAACAAAAAACTTATAATTCCAATTTTAGTAAAAATATTGAATTAAAAACCTAAAAAACAAAATTCCAATGTTGGTAAAATAAATTTAAATACCTTAATATAAAAATCAAAATCCTAATTTAAATATTTATTAAAAAATCCAAAAATCGGTAAAAACTAATTTTTAAAAATAAAAATCCTAAACAAAAAATAAAATACAGAAATCTAATTTACCAAAAGCTTAATTGTAAAAAAACAGAATTTAAAATTATACCAGTATGGCCATCTATACAAACTACCCATAACTACACTGCATTATTAAAGATTCCCATATACCCAAAAATAATTTTAAAACTTACCATTATTTTCCTATATAAACTATCTATTTGCATATCATCAAAAGGTAGTGACCCAACTAATAGAGCATACAACAAAACCCCCATGGCCCACAAATCAACTTCGGGGCCTAAATATTGCTTCCCCATTACTAGCTCAGGGGCTGCATAAGTTGGAGAGCCACAGGAAGTAAATAAAGGGCTCTCCACACCCCCTTCAGGCCTTGCACAAAGCCCAAAATCTATTAGTTTTAGGTTTTGGTTTTTATCCAACAAAACATTTTCCTACAAGCAAAATATTTAAGTTATTTTTATATTGGTACCATTTTGATGTACTTACAGGTTTCAAGTCTCTGTGAGCATAACCAAGGCTGTGTAAATAAGCCACAGCAGAAACAATTTGCCTAAAAAACATCCTACTCTCCGATTCAGTTAATCGGTTTTTCTCAACTATATGATCGAATAATTCGCCACCTGAACAATACTCGATGATAAGAAAGAAATGAGTCTCAGTTTCTATCACCTACAATTCAGGAAAACATAACAAATACTAACATAATAATGCAGTTTGTTTACCTGATACAATTTACAAATGTGTTCGTGATTTAAAGACTGTAAGGCCTTTAATTCCATTTTAACTCTGGGCAAATCATCCCCAAGCATTCTTTTCTCCATAATCTTAATTGCAACCTTCTCCCCTGTAGCTATATGAGTCGCCAATTTAACTTTTGCAAATCCCCCGCAACCTATAGTTTTCTCAACCTCAAATAGGCCTTTTAAGGCCGGATAACGAACCATTTTCACTGATTTCTTGCTTAACTTTATTTATTTCACCTGATTATCATCGGTTTTACGAATATTTCACGCTCTTTTTGCGAAGTAAACAAATAAAATGCTCATTTTTTGTAACGAATTTCTTTGAATTCAAATTGTAAACAACTTCAACTGTCAAAACCGCAGATTCCTGTAATTTTAACTTAAAATGACAATTACAGAAGTCTACTTTACGATAAATGTAATTCTTGGACTAAACGTTAATAGATGTCGCTAGCAATACAATTTGACTTAACCCAACTTATATAACCTAAAATCTAAAAATGTTATCAACTTTAAAACCAGCACAACTATTAAGAAATCTTGTAAATCAGTGCAGATTATGTTCTACAAAAGCACCAGATTCAAATCTGCCAGCAAATTCCAAGCCGAAAGAGGTAAAAACGAAAAAATACGATCAAAAAGACATAAGCGCAAGTGATATGCAGTGGAGACGTGAATGGCATGAAAATCACGGTACGAACTACAACATGCTGAGGACTTTTTATACCGAGGATAATAAGCGTTCGTGGCTGCAAATTATGCAGACAAAAATCGATTTGTCGCCGGCTAAAATCAAAAATTGGTGGGCCGAGAAGAAGGAGGTTGAGCAAAAGTATTTGCAGTCCTATTTGCCGGAAAGAAATCAACGATTGGGGAACGAATTAGCGGCCGCTCATTTCCTGGTATTTAGAGGAGGGGCTGTTAAGTTTCACGGCCAAGATAAGTGGATTAAAGGGGATTCGGAAATTCTGCCAAACAAGTACGATTCCACACTAATTTTGCAAGGAATTGACTGCTCCGATATGCCGATACATTATGAGGGTTTGGTAAATTTGAGGGCTTTAAAGAATGTGGAGTGGTTGAGTTTGAGGTACTGCGACAATGTGGATGACTGGTTCTTGGACACAATCAGCAATATTTTCTCTGATAGTTTGTTGTACTTGGATTTGCGGGATTGCAAAAATATCACCGAAAGGGGTTTGGGGGCTTTGTACAAGATGAGGAATTTAAAGATTCTCTATATTGACGATTTATTGAAGGCTACCAGTTATGAAATGACTTGCTTGTTGTTACAGGAAGTTAATCCAATGTTGGACATAAAAAGTGACAAGGTTACTTTTGATCTTAAATAAGTATTTGTTGAAGTATTGGTTATTAAATAATTTAAGGTAAGAGGACTCTTATTTCTTATCATGTTATGTAAAAAATTTTTTTACGAAATATTAAAAAACCTATTATATTAGGTATACATTTAACCCCAATTATTTCTTATCATGCTATGTAAAAGGTTTTTTACAAAATATTAAAAAACAATTTACCTATTTAACCATAATTAGGTAATACCTATTCCCTTATAATAATAATCATAATAACCACAATTAGGTAATAGGTTTAATACCCTACTTAATGGTTAAATTAAACAATAAAAAGTTAAATTATTCAATTTTAAAATAATAACAAAAATAACTAAAAAATAATAAAGTGAAGGACGATTTTTTTGGCTTCAAAACTTATTTTTTGCAATAAAATTTTGTAATGATAAATCAAAAATAAAAAAAAATCAAATTTAATGCTAGTAATTAGGTGGTCTATTTATAAAATCACACGAAACATAAAAATGTTTACTTTTAGTTTTTTCAGCGTACATAATATTTCACGTGAAATCAAAATTATAGATCGTGTGTTGGCTTTACGTGCATTAATAATGAAGGCAAAACAAAATAAATTATACGAACATTAGCACGCGCACCTCGGAAAATATCGATCAGCCCCCTTTTTGTTGGTAACGTTAGCATGCACACTACACTACTTTACCTTACCTACCTGTGTTGTGCTGTGCTGCAGTATTGATTTCAGCTTTGGAACTATTTATATTTGGAAAATTTTCAGGATTCATAAATTAATTTGGCTAATATTTAATAACCCTTAATATTACAGCAGTATTTCCCAAACAAACTTAAGCCACAAAAATTACTAAAATAATTTTTGTTAAAAAACACTATTATAGCGGTTCTACTTTTATTAAAAATGTACCTATAAAAACATAAAAATGTAAATTGACTTTTTAATGATGTTACATAGTAATTTGTAATTGTATGCATCCAAAAACATGGGTAATTACAGTAAGTATACGTTATTCGCATATTAGAAAAAATCAAATGGTAGCTTAACACCTATCAGTGGCGGCTCGTAAAATATATAAAGGTATGGGTGATTCTACAAAAGTTGGACAACTTGATGTCATCAGTCAATAGAGTGGGTATTTTTTTTGTAAATATTTTAGTATATTACAAAAGATCCAGGTTTTTTTAACTTGTCCACCCAATTTTAATGTATTTTTTCAAAAGCACGTTTGTAAAAAACATAATAAATATTCAAAACATCAGTACCTTGGCGTGTCACAACTCCTGAATCAAATATTTAAGTGATTTTATTTTAAAATATATTCAATTTATCTTAAATTTTTCAATTTCACTACAAACTATAAAACATTAAATAATAATTTTTCATATTTTATCATAGATTCGAATAATAGCAATTTTTACAAAATTGATAATCTTTGTACTCACTTTTACCGGTCAGTTCTGTATCCAATGTTAAAATTCAAAATTCCTGCAAAATATTCAAGTTTAAACGTCAAGTCCTCATTTTAACTCGTGTTGGTAAAAAATTACCTACAGAGCCCGCCCTTTGCACGACAGTCATCTTGAAAACAATGCAAGCGGTGAAGTTGTGGTGAATGCACGTATAGTTCCAGTCAAAATTTCAGTACTGTGGTGAGTAGTTATATTCTTAAGTATATATATTTCATTGTAATTTATATAAGGCTATATGTGATTTGTTGATAAGTAGCATCCATAAATAAATATCAGTAAAATACTTAATTCCGAATTATAATCTCAAATTTTTATCCCATTCATCAGTACCGTGTCGATGTTTCGGTTATCTTTTTTTCGCAAACTTTAATTTAAATTCTGCTTGCGCAGAACTTGTTTATTTAATGTCATTATAAACTCATATAAATTTGGTGTGGGTCCCATATCTAATAATTGAGATATCGGTATACCCAAAATCCACCAGCCGCCACTGATATGTGGTATTATTTGATTTTAAGATATTTAATGTATACTATGCTCAAAGTTGCAATAAATCTTATATTTTCCAATAAATTATGTATTTAATTAGTACCCTGGTATACTCGTCACTTCCCTTGCATTAAAATTTAGAAAACACAGATATTTCAGAAACTGTTTAAAAAAGTGACTGACCCGGTCTGGAACAGTATATTTATTATATTATCTATGCTCTCATAACAAAATACTGTTTAATTTTCTCCAAAAACTATATAAACAAAAGTCAAAAGTTGCCCAACTTTTGTGGAATCACCCATATCTGGAAATATTAATATAGGTATATAAAACAAATTAAATATTAGAGCAATAGGAATACCCACCCCCTTAACTCCAATTGTTTTTGACACGGCCTAATAAAATACAATGCCAACAGAATAAGCTTTGCTTATAAATACTCAAAGGCCTACCCTGACGAGCCGCCACTGGCCATACGGGAATATATTGACTTGTCTGCTTTCGCGGGCGCTTGTTAACCGTTAAATATTGAGATACCGTTTTCCGTGATATAAGGTAAAATAACTCTTCGAAAGTAAAAGTTGTTTGTTAAGGATTACCGCGCTTAAATAGCTAAGTTAAGCACTCAATAATACCAATATCCACTTGAGTGAGTATAATATATTATGGGCATTTTCTTAATTTTATATTTCAGCCACTTTGTATTTTTATTTATTAATTTTAAAAAGTTTAATATTTTACCGAATATTTTACCGAAAGTTTTGTAAGATAATATGCAATTTTGTAAGCATTTTGTTAATTTCAAAGGTTACTGATTATTTTGTTAACATTTAACAAATGATTTCGTTGAAAAAGTAAACGTGATTTCAGGCAGTCAATCAAAACATTTCCCACTGACAATACGCATCAACAAGTTCAACTGACCTCAGCGTCTGCAACTTATGTTTCTGCTCACTTAATTCTAATTCGTAACGTGTTCGTAACAACCGTCCAGGGGTGCGATTCTCGAGTTCATTCGCAACCTTACGAATGCGAATAGTTGCGGTGGAAAACTTGCGAATGATATTATACTGTTGTATTCTCAAGTTTTTCGTTAAGTGTTCGCAAAAATTTGCGCACAAGTAGGTATGCATAAAATTTATTATGTGGCAACGGTGCTAGTTTGTAGTATAACCAACATAGTTTTTGATGTATTTTATGAAAGTTGTCAGATGGCCAGTATTAGTTGGGTTAGTTTACCAAAAATTCGTTTACGCAAATCAGTACATAGTGTAGTTTATTATTTATTATATCATTATTGAGCTGTTATTATAAAAATGGAAAAGGAGAAAAAAAGCAATTAGTGCATAATTTGTACTTTTTTACTTCATTATATCGATTATTCATGGGAATTTTTAAAAATTCAGGACATTGGTAATTAAAATGGCTTCGTTTACAAAATGAACACTGTACATTTTTAGTTACTACCAAAGATGTGTCTTTTCTTTGGTAACTTTTTGATTTATTTGGTTCTACAGATTCTAGTATTTGGGATCGATTTATTAAAAATTTAAGAAAATCCTCAAATTTAGAAAAATCTTCTTTATTCGTTTGTTCCCACTGCATTTTAGTTTTAGAATCTAATTTCAAGGAAAAAATGAATATTAGTATGGTGTCCCAAGAGTCTATAGGTTGTTTTAATGATTTTAATGATCATATCAAATTTCTGATAAATTGCGCATTTTCGTACTTGATATTTGATATTTGGTAATTCCATTAATGCTTTAATATGGTTGTATACTAAGAGTTTTTTGTTCTCGTATCTTTGCCAAAGAAGGTCCCAGGCAATTGCATAATTCTCATTTGTTAGTTCCAAATTGGTTAAGATCGCACCCCTGGCAAATTAATTGTTGGAAGTTTTAACTGGTCTTTTATGTTTTCTGAGTTTACTTGCGTAAGGGCACTATAGTGGGTTAAATCATATATGATTTAACCCAGGTGAACTTGAATCATGATATTGTAATTTTAACAATTCGTTTGCACATGCAACAACTTTATATGTGTCTTCAAATTCAGTTATTTCATATTCAACGTTTGAAGCCTCCAAGGGATCAATTTCATTGACTGTATCAACAAAAACAATGTGTGCATTTTCAATGCTGCTTAACCGTGTATTTAATTATTCTAATGGTTTATTAAATTATTAATTTCAGCCTCTTCAATAGCCGCCAATCCATTTAAATTGATAAGCTCGTCCATTCTCTTGACTTTTTGTGTCACAAATTTGAGATTAAGGTATTTTAGCGAGTGCTGTTGACCACTCGTTGCATTGCGAATAAAAATGTACGAATGCGCATAAAAATGTACGAATGCGCATTTTTGCACAGATTCGAGAATCGCATTTCAACTCTATCGTTCGTAAGTTGGCACTTGCGTATACGCAAGTCATGCGAATGAACTCGAGAATCGCACCCCAGAGTGTTTATAATATATTATACCAGAAATCTGTTATTATTCTTATTCGGATTCCTTATACCCATTTAACGAGTGTGTGAAAATTTCTTTACAATTGTGTGTATGTTATTGTTGTGTTCATTTATGTAGGTACAGAATTGTGCGAATTAATGTGAACACAAGTAGATTTACGTTAAATATTATTTATTGAAATAAAAAATACAAGCAGTACTAGTTTATAAATATTTTAGTATTATTTATTAGGAAATATATCCCCCTTTTGGCTTTTATTAAAGCTTTAACTCGTTTTGGCATAGAATTAATCAATGTTTTACAATTTTCATTTATTTTGTCACCTCGAAACCATGTTTTTTGTTGTAGAATTTATTTTTAGCAACCTGTCCTTCCATAATATATTATAGCCCACAAATTCTCAATAGTATTAATGTCCGTTGAGTTTACAGGCCAATCTAGAAGGGTTACCTTTTTGTCCTAGTGTAAATTAGTGCAGAATGATAGATTATGTGATATGTCAAGAAAAACCTGTCAAAATTGTCACAGCAGTATTCGAAGTTCGAAAATAGTATAGAAATTCCTAATGTTCACATTAATTCGCACAATACTGTATGTGTTAATTTTTTTGTTTAGGAAATTGATTAATAAAGCAACATTTGA